TATATATATATATACATACGCAGAACGTGAAAGAGCGGTTTTGCACTATTTACAGCAACTAATCTTGTGGGATTTCTTCGATGAAAGGGACGATCGTTGGATGTATCTTGATTTAGAAGATATCCCTTTCTTCTCAGATTCCGACGATTCCGATTGGTCCGATTATGAACTGTCGTTCGATTAGACGAGCAAAACTAGTCGACCGACACAAAACTGCCTTGATACCACTGTTATCATGCTACTCTGTTGCTCTATGTCGATACCTACTTCCTTTATCACTTATGCGCGGCTTTAGCGACTAAGAAAATTACTAGATAATTAGCAAATAATTTGAATTATTATAATTCGAAGACGTTCTAGTTACGTAGAAGAAAAAATAGAAAACAAGAAAAACATGCGCATTTTCCTAAAATGATAATTTATATAAAAAAAAACTATTTAGTTGTTTACCGTCAAAATAGTCAAAACGCTTTCTTTTCTTTCTTTCATAGATAATATTTAATAGATAAGTTTTTTATTTCTACATAAGATGATAATAGTTATTAAAATGTCTATCCGCGCGCAACAATAGAAAAATTGTATTAACAATTTAATAGAATAAATATAAAGTGACATTTTAATAACTATTATTTTCAACACCACAGAAATAAATCTTTTAAATATTGTCTACAAAAAGAATATGTTCTTTACTATTTTAATGGTAACTGTATACTTGTGTATAAATAATTACGAGATCCACAATTTCAAGAATTATATTTCAAGAATTAATTATTGCGGTCGAGCACAAAAAAATAAAAGGCAGGAAATATGGACAGTAAAAATTTCCTTGAATATGCAACTTTGAAGTCACTTTTGTGTAACTTGACCAATGCTCTACTAACTGATTGTTCCAGCACTATTAATTCAGTGGTCCAAATTTTATCAGTGAATAGATCGATATTTTTCCGATGTTTGTTTCCTCGTAGAGTAATATATCCGTTTTTCTCAATACTAATTATTATTGATATCACACTGCATGATCTGGAATACGTCTATACATTAAATCGCATTGTAGAATAAGTAAATCAATGCATAACTAGAATTTTAGTTGATTATCAATCAGTGAAATATAAAAAAAAAGTCATTCTTTTTTGCTCTTTTTTATAAGAAAGGTATATCAAAATAGTTGAAGAGTAGTTTAATTGTAGCTTTTTTTGATTAAGACTTCTTTTCATTTAAAGCAAATAGATTAGATTTACTCTATTTTATAATTTCAATAAATATTTGTCATCCAATGTTACATTATTGTGCGTACTTAATCAACATGTAAAAACTATGAAGAATGTGCTAATATGGGATTTAAACAAAATTTTCAACAATGCAAATTACATCTAAATCGATTTTACTGGGCTTTATTTGTATTTGTAATAAATATCTATATATATATATATATACAGTGAGCATGTTTTGTGATTGCAATGTAATATTGCGCTTGATGTGAAGGATAAATAAAATCAGTTGTGTGTTGTTCATAAATATAATTCTGACGCAACAGTGCTATAAAAAATGCACATTGCATTCAATAAAATCTTTATAAACTATCACTATTGCAATTACAAAACAGATTTAATTATAATACGAGGATTCATAATACTTACTATTCACATATAAAATAGAAGAACTGGACAACGATTTATTACTTGTGTGATCAGTGTGCATTGTTAGTTCAATTTATCACTAGTTCATATCGAAGGTACGATCTACTGTCGTCCTACCTCTTGCTATGGCTCCGCGAATCTTTATACATATATACAATACATTTCTTTAAATTATTATACAGTTGTTTAGCGTTACTCGTGAGTAATGGATATTCCTTTAAGAACAAGTGTGCAAAGTGAATGTGATGCATGTGTAAGAATGTGAGCGTATTGATGTGCGGTATTTGTGTGCGTGTGCGTAAATGTGCGAATGAGAAGTACGAATATGAAAAAAAAATTTGTGAGAAAAAGACGAGACTATGGATAGCATATATGCGGGACGAATAACAACAAATGTAATAAAAAGAAGCTTTGTGAGAAGTGTGCATTTGTAGACTGGAGATTAAAAAAAAAGAACAGTAGAAGTACGCACGACGGAGTTGGACCCACGACAGAGCCATGCTGGGAATCATCGTCGATCGTTTTTACATTTTATCGATTTACTAATAATAGCAACTCGTTCCGACAACCGTTCTCTCGATATAGAACCATGATAATTACGCTTTGAAGGGCATAGAATTCTTTTGTGTAAAACTGACGAGATGATACATACGTAAAAATATAATACACCAAAGAGATACGATATTCATCTTCTAGCATTGAATATTCCGTGTGATGTCATTTTTTTTAACCTTTCGCTATGAATGATCTTTTCGCAATATATTTATGACAAATAATTACATTGTTCTACATATAGTTCTTGCTCGCACTTACAATCTGATTCGTATTCATGATAGGAAGTGACCAGCTTTTACAACAGAGAACCGTCGGTACTGCCTTTCAAAAGCTATGTGATTATAGAGTAATATATCATTCATTGCGCTATTATAAGGTCAGTTTCTTAATCCGCCTCGATAAAGCGTTTTATCGGCTCGAACTTTCGCTATGCCATGAGAATATCGTTTATATATTTCCCATAGAATTTCTATATTGTTAATTTTATCGACAATTGTTAGAATAAAACGCTTTATATTGTTACCGGTAATGTATAATAGAAACTTTCTATGATACGCTGTGCGTTTCAAGCGGCTATTTTTCGAGCTACTTTCTTTAACAATTACAAATTTCCCGATGAGGGAAACAAAAATAAAACGCTTAAGCGATATTGGATTGTAAGATAGCGGAATGTACGATCGGTGAGTCGATTGAGAATTTTTAAGTCGGTAATAATTTTGTGAATGATAATGAATTTACGATGGAAAAACGTCTTTAATGTTAGCACGTTTAGTACCAGTATACATATCGCCGTTGTAGGAGGAAAGTTAATTGCGTTGATCGTTGCACGTATTTGTCGTCACTACCATTTTTATTTATCTTGAGTTAAGCGCGATGCGTTTACTGCATTATTATGCTCTAAATGCATGAAACGCGAAAGGATATAAAATTAGCAGTTGATATCTATCAAGTCGTTTAACGACATTCAGCGCAATTTGCCTTGATTTTGGCGATGCATTTTCGGAGTTAACTTTGGAGTTCACTCGCGTACATAATACATAGTACATAGTGATTCTAAAATCGAGGTTCCACTGTGTGATTTTTTGTTTTGTCAACGCAAAGAGAGTAAGGGATGGCCGATTTACTGATTCATTCATTATTATTCGAACGAAATAGCGAACGTTAGAACGATATTCTTAATAACTTCAATCCTATTCTCAGGATGGTTTCATTAAACTAGTTTAGAAATTATATAGAATTTATGGAACAACCGCGTGCGTTATGTCTCTGCGTGCAGAATTCAATCGCCAAGATTCTACCGCAAGTGTGCATTAATGTGAATTAATTGTACTAAACGTACCTGCATTGAATACTTTATTGCGTAGTGACAAGTATTCTTTTTCCCTTTAACAACTTAAATACGCCTTACAGATTGTTACGTAATTCATTCATATAAGTTGAGATCAAGCGTCTCTAATAATCTTTCTATTTTTTTTTCTTTCGGCTCTTACGGAGTGCGATTCTTTAGAAATAACGTTGTGCCGATTGTACCATTTTATTTTTCAGCGTATTATTTATTTTTATTCAGCGTGTTAAACGTGTATTTTATCGTGTGTGCCGGAAACGCTCAAAGAGTCTTGCGAGTTAAGAAAGAAGAGTTACACTTAAATCTTTTCTTTTTTAAGGGAGGTAATTTGTTGATATCACACTAAATTTCTATACGTAATTAAACCTTATATTTTTGTAACTTGTCGCGTCGAACTACGTTATGTAATAAAGGCTCTATAAAGCGGATATAATAAGATATACGATTAAAAATCTTATATTTGTTAGATAGCGCACCACCATGAAAAGGTAAAATCGACGTTGAAAACATTGTTGTGCCACAGCTTGTTTCTTACGTCTTTAATAGATCTTAGATTATTGTGAATGTTTTTTTAGCCAATAAATAATACGTAGATGAAGCAAACTGTGTTTTCACTGCATAATGCGAAAACAAATTGCGAACATTCGCATTATCTTATACCATCCTTTTTACATGTAAAAAAAGCAATTTGTATACGGAAAGAAATTCTTTTAAAATTTATTCTAAAAATATGATAATCATGGGACATGGGACATTGTATTTCGAAGAATTTTATGTAAATCTCTCTTCTCTCTCACTCACTAATAAAAAAAACTACAATAAAATATAAAATAAGTTCAATTAATTTTACTGTAGTGCATGGTAAAAATCTTTAAAATATTGTATTGTACCATAACTATCATATTTTTAAGGTAAATTTTGAGAAAAAATTCTTTCCGTGTAAGGGAAAATAATTCTATTAATCAAGGAAATTAATTCTATTATATATATAATAAGAAAGAATGAGTCTCTCTCTCCCTTTGCCTAGGAGTTCTTTCCTTTTTTGTACTTTTCTTAAATCTAATTGATAATGCGGTTGCGAAGCTGTCGCTGTGACAGGTTTGTTTTGCATTGTGTATCGCATTATCGCGGGCAAAATATAATTGCAAAATTATCCGAATGTGTTCAACGGTTTTCCGATGACGTCCAATTAAAGCATGTCAGATAGATGTAAAAACGTTAATTCTCGAGAGCGAATGAGCTCTCGCAAAATATTGTATACGATCGCTCGCGAAACTTATGATAAAAAAACTTATGAAAAAAAAACACTTGCTTCTAGTAGATACAAGAATAATTACTTCCTAGAAGAACGAGGGGGAGAAGGAGGAGTGTGATCGAGTAATTCATATATCGATTATATGTAAAACAAATTTTGGCGTATATCAGGATGTCTATCACTACAAAATGCGGGAATTTTTGGCGAACTGTCTTATTGCACTTTATCTACATCAGCACACAAAAAGAAGTACGAATACGAAGTACCAGAAAATTTAGCTAGATCTGAAAATAATTTTGTTGGACTGTCGAAACAATTATGTAAGATGTTTAAGCATGACGAATAACGTTGCAAAAAACTTTAACATTCTCGAACATCCCTTACATTCATACAGTACAGAAGCTTGCAGCATGATTTTCAATGTTGTTGCAATATTACTGAAATGATCCCCGTGCTATATTAATTATTTTGCTCCAACAATTTTGCTGAGTTGTCCACAAAGTTCGTGTGAAGTTTTAAGTCAAATTCGAATGAAAAATATTTTTAGCAAAAAATAATTTTAATATATTAACAATTTTGTTTCACAATATTCTATCTTTTGAATAATTTTATAATTACTCTCTAGAATTTTTGGATTTTTGAACGTCACTTACTGAAAAATCTATAGAAACAACTCAATATTTTCAAATCTGTATTTTCAAATCTGTAGCTAAATTTTTAGCTGCTTCAGAAAAATCTTTTTCCGTACACATTTCCCCTTTATTCCCGCTGTCGGTTCGCCAAGCCGTCAATTTCACATGTCCGTTAGCTTT